AGACAAGAATCACATTACCTAACAAATACAAGAAGTGCTATTGCTTCATTTGACATTCATCGATGTAAAATAAACAAAGCTCACTTGGTATTTCTCGACATAAAATAAAACAAGTGCTATCATGCTGCTTGGGACTTTTCATACTCATATAGAGTAAGTGCGGTTGGGTTGCGCTGTTTGGGGTTCTTCGACAGTGTTTTTTCAATATCCCCTGGGACTCAAACGGTTAATAAAAAATAACTAATCTCCCCTACATTAATGATGATCACCCAAGATATAAGTGCCAGGTAACACTATCTGGAATACTTTAGAAAGTTTTGTAAGGGTACAACAATACCTAGTGATACTAATCAAGTCATTGGTTCACAATATTTTGATCAGCTGTCATAATGTTATTACTCAAGGCTAAATGATAAAAATGTTTTAATTTAATTAATAAATCATTTGCTTGTAACTTTCACGTAAATACATATTAATTTTAATTATTGATGAATCTCTTTAAAAAATAATCTAATAATTCACCATTTGCATTCATACCTATTCAAAGGATCATAAATTATACACACATAAGCTACAAAATAGTCAGCAGTTAACTTACACTGCTAAAATATAATTTCCTTGCATATTTTAAACAAAGACAAAAGTGACATCATGCTTTCAAATCCCTAATATGAAGTTATAAATGGTAATTTTAAGGAGCCATAAATGGTTTTCAAAATCAGTGCACAAAAGGATAAATGGCTAAAATCACAAAACACTGGTAACATACTGACTTTTGATCGTGATGGATAACTGGGCTGACTGCATAAGTTTTCCCCATGTGCTATATAAACAGAGGCAAAGCATGGCTTCATCTTCTGCACATGGCCTTCGTGTTTTGCAAAATTAATAAATTTAAATCTAGTTACCTTCTTCTTTTTGAGATCTACAGCCTGCTACAGGCCAAGGCTGTCTCTCCAAGTTTTCTCCATCTGACCAGTTTTCTCCATCCAGCAACCACAGCTTCTTCTCAGTTTAGCCTTATTACTTAATCTAGACACATACTAGCCCTTAAATGTTGTCACACTGATAAGCATTATGAAGTTTGAGGGAACACCAGAAATATAAATAATGAAACTAATCTTGGGTGAGGTGGCTATGGATGGTCCATACACCAGAAGTTTCCCTTCTTAAGTTCTTCTTTCCCCTAAAACTTAAGCCAAATGCATTTTATAATGTAAATGATCATGACAGTTTTTCCCATCTTTTAAGCCTTTTTAAAGGATTTTAATAAAGGAAATTTAACAATTGAATATTAAAATATGCAGAAAATCTTAGAAAAGTTACAGAGTGTATTGGTAGTAAAAATGCCAAAATACAATAGAAATTACTGCATGGCTTCTTATTAATCAACTTCATTAATATGAATATGATTTCATAACTTCTGCACTGCTCTGTCACTGTAATTGGCTTAATTTGACAGTAAAAATATAATGAATATGTTATAGCACTCATGCAGTGTCTAAATTTATGGACAGACATCATTGTTATCAGTGGCATAACTAGAGCTCTTGGGCCCCTATGCAAAAACTTTTCCTGGCTCTGCTGATAAACTAACTGTGCTTAAAAAAATGGAAAGTTGAAAAAAAAAATCAAGTATTCCAGAAGCCAATGTTTTGATGATGATTTTTATCACATCTGGAATAATTATTAAAAAATAAAAGCACGTTTTTAGGAAACCAGTTGAAAGATACGTAACATGAAGTAAGAATAATAAAGAAAATATTTTCCCTTCACCAACTGTAAAATGCAAATTTACTTTAGTCTGGGTGTAATATTTGACATCATATAATTTTAACCAGTTTATTTAAGATATTTTGTGTGCGTATGTGTGAGTGTGAGAGACTTTTCTCTTCTTTCACTGAGATACATACTGATAACAAATGAATAAGTCTATATAAAAAAAGGAACAGGTCGATGTAAAGTATAGCATTACGAAGAGGAAAAAAGCCTAGATCTGTGGAGGTTTTTTTCAATAAAATACAGTAAGTTTTACATACAAATATAATATAAATAATATATAAAACCTGCTCTAATCTACTTTTTTTCGTTTAATTTAGCAAACTAATAAATAACTGGTTATGCTATAAACTCAGCTTAATACGTAAATGTACAAATAAGAAATTACACTAATATATAGTGCTCAGTGATTTACTTTCTGTGCTCTGTGAACATGACTTATGCAATGATGTACAAGTAATAAATAAGAACTTTCATGATGTAAATGATACATTTGTTAAATATAAAACATATTTATCATAAATTTCATAAAGAAAATTATTTGAACATACAATTTTTGTAGGAAATATGGTAAGTGGTAAAGTTTTTTTAGGGTATAGTATGGTAAAGTTTTTTCCCCTCTCTTTTTAAAATACTTTTTGGTACACGCAATTAGTTGAATACATGATTTTCTTAAAACTATGTATTGTCAATTTTCCCCCGTTTTCTTTTAATTTTTCTCAGTCCATACTGGTCTTCTCTAATGTTTTTCATAATTAAGTATAATTATAACACTGGTGGCCAAAATTCGTCATATAGACAAAACTCTTTCTTTATTAAAATTTGCTGCTCCTAACCTCCATTTCCACAAAATTATTTATTAATACCTGGAAGTCTATTTTTTCAGACATCTCAGCTTCAACACTCTATAGTGATAGGTCTGAAAACCGAACTTGTGTCATAATGTTTCTCGAATATGTTTTTATTAGTTACAGTTTTGAAAATAATCTCTCACTCACGACTGTAGTTACAGGTAATGATAAACACAATACAAATAAACTGCACACTTCTGAATAACTGCTTGCCATGTCATAATATTTTATTACTGCTAATTTAACTAAATCCTTAATGGATTTCTGATCTGAAAGCATTTATAAATCACAGCAGTTTACTTCCAGTGCATTAGTAGTCTCCTTTATATGTTTTTTGTATTTCTGAAATATTATTAATAATTTCAGCATTTGTTAATGATAACAGATTTTTAGGTCCAGAAAAGGAAAACATTATTGCGATTTTTACGATTCTTGTCATTCCAGTCATTCTATATGTTAACTGAGTATTTAAAATAGAGGCAGGAGCATAAAAAAAAAAAAAAAAAAAAAAAAAAAAAAAAAAAAAAAGTTACTTTAAAAAATATTTTAGAATTTTCAAACCTGTTATCCTCACATTAAACCATAAAAATTTGTTTGCCTTTATTTTTTTTCATTTTCAAATTTAGTTCCTGTGCTCCATTTACTTGCAACAAACTCAGCTTCTTTCATAATATATTCAAACTTGTTTCTCATATTTTGCATACTGATAGAAACATCTTTTAGATATTTATAAGATTGAGTTTCTTTGTAATACTTGAGACGTTGCATTAGTAAAAGATAAAACGTTTTTCATAAAAATTGTTAAGAATAAAAATTTAAGACTCCATTTTTTAACCCATTTGCAATTGCTTTTCTTTGCACTTTCTTTGATGTTAATATAACTTAATTTATTATTTTTAAGATGTCAAAGTATCTTCGTTTAATTGCTATCAAACATGATAATCGTCCAGCCCACCTTGTAGGATTTAGAATTTTGAGAGTAGTATCAGAGTCTCCCGAAGAATGTAAACTCCATCTTTTTAAACTTTCTCCGAAATGCACGTAAATATTTTGAAGAATTTCGAAATATTTACGTAGCTCTCTTACACCTTGGACTGCATCTTGCACATGCACACCTCAAGAAATTTACAACTTGTTCTCACAGTAGACGAGCAACAGCCTGGCCTCAGTTATTACTAATAACTTGAAAGCTGTCCTCTAGAGGGGAATCAAAACGAAAGCATACAACCTTTTTGTTTTCCTTCAGGTGAAATTTGGGTGTCTGTTAATCTGTATTTAGCTGTTTCATTTGCTTCCAAGGTTCCCCTATCTGTGTCGTATATTAGGGGGCCCTTAAAAACTTAAAAGAAGAAGGATTCTATAATGTATGTGTTGTCAGATAACAGAATCTGTGTTTTAAGTTTAAGCATGTAAATATGTAAATGTAGTTCAGTAGGACACTCAAGGGCCCCCTAAACCTTCGAGCCCCTATGCGATGGTATTCCTTGCATACCCTTATTTACTCCACTGATTGTTATCTGTGCAAATCTCTGTGATATAAACAATTTACTGAAATATTCATTGAAATACTGATCTTTTAACTAAATATGTTATATCAAATAAAATTAACAGAGTTGAAGAAATAAAAGTAACACAAACTGAAGAAAATTAAAGAGCAATGCGATTTAACTGCACTGCCTTTTTACCATAAACTGTATAGTATCATAAGTAACTGCACTGCAATTTTTTTATCATAAAATTCACTGCTTGCACCAGTTTTCATTGTTTTATTTCTTGATTTCTAGCAATGTTAGTAAGGTAATAGCCAGAAGATGCATGAATTCATTCCATAATACAGTACTTCTGTGGTAGTTTAGTACAATCAATTACTTATGCATTAAAATTGTTCGTTGGAGATACCATGTTTTACCAACATACCTGTGAGAATGAAACTTTTTTAAAATAAAGAAAGTTGTTTATATTAGACAAATTTATTTTCAACCATTATTTATTTACAATGAATTTTCATAACAAGAATAAATGTTTCACTAAGCATAGATGTAAATTTTAGAAATTTTTTATATTAAATCAAGCAACTGTTTTTGTTGTTTTAAGTTATGTTCAACAGCACAGACAATTACTGTAGTAAAAAACGGCACTTTTGCAAGGGCTTTATTTTAATAACAAAATATATTTGATGTCTAATATTAAAAATTATTGGTCTTCCAGAATATAAATATATATATATAAAAAATCTAAAATTGAAAAATATAAATTTAAACACAGGGAATAAATTAAACTGTGTAGAGGTAATGTAATTTGCAACACAATTTTAATCAAATGGAATGATTAAATTTGTGCACAGAAATCAAAGTAAAATGAACAGAAAAGTTGCAAAGAAAATATATTTAATGTTTTTCACAAGTTTCTTTGAAGAAGTCCTTTACCATTTTATAAAACACTTAAGATATATCTTCTGATGAAAAAAACATACATTTTATTTCTTCTAGCAGACCAGTAATCAAAGACGGATTTGACCCCTTTGCTTCAATTCCTATATGATTTGGATTCTGAAAATAAAAGAAATTAATATTACTACTAAAAGTCTATGCCTTTAAAAAAAATACAGTTAAGTGTATTCTAGGCATAGTTACCAGTAGTAATATGAAACATATTTTATCATATGAAAGCATAATTATGATACCTCTGCTTTTATATGATGTACAATTTAAATCACCTTCTCCCCTCCCCCCCAAAAAATGCAAAATTTACTCATAAAATGCAATATTTCAAAGAAAAACTGGCTATTACACATGGCTTATGACTCCAAATAATTATTTCAAAATACTTTACAGCTGAAGATAAATAAAATAATAATTTTAAATTATGCACAGATAGACTTTTTGATCACATATGAATTTCTCAATTTAAGAAACAAATAAAAGCAATATTTACCATGTGTTTGACTAGAAGACAGACATGATCATCTTGGATGGAACGACTGTATAATGAGGCACTGGTACCTAATTGTTCAACAACTATGGGAGAAAGAAGAAAGATATATAGTTATATCTAGGTAAAAATACTTTTGCTTTTTTTCCGATTTTAATAACATTAAGTTTTTCAGAACTTCAAAAAAAAATTAAATTGCTAAAATTGTTGGAAACATTCTTCATATTTTTAATCAAAATAATTTATAATATTGTATTTTTGATTTTCAGTTTTTTAGTAAGATTCTTTTTCAATTCCATTTAAATTTACCATCCCTTAAAAAACAACAATGACAAATGATGGACAGCTTAATAAAAGTGTTTCTGGAATTACAGATACTGCAGTGAGAATAAAAGTTATTGCATGTAATAATTATTATCAGAAGGCATGCAAAAGGAAATAAGTAAACAACTATAAAGCTAATAAAGAAATACTAAGAATCAGGGGATAAAAGTATGTTCTAAACATAGAACAATTTAAGACTATTTCAAGTGTCTGAACTATGGTAAGACCTGGCATCAGTGTAAAAAGTCAAATTATTTTGTGAATCAGTGTAAAAGCTATGCACAAACTAAATAAATATTACTGGTGATAAATAGCTGAATCAGAAACTTGCATAACTTTATGAAGGAACTTTTAAAACTCAATTTCAGCAACACAGAGAAAAGGACAGATGATAGTAAGAAAATTCAAAATAACTTTAATTACAGATAGATACAAGAGCCACATGCAGTATTATTTATTAAAAAAAAAAAAAAAACACACTTTAGAACTAACTTTTGAAGATGTTATTCCTAAACACTAGATATTTTGATACAAAAGTCTGAATTAAAAAAAAAATTAGTTACGTTCAGTGGGGCTAAAATGAACAAAGATAAAAGTCAATATCCGAAAAACAAATATGCAGTAAATTGTCAAATTACTGTTAGTGAATTTATACAATGCACGTCATCACAACTTCATAAACTATGCAGAGTGATTTTATCATCATGTTATGTATGGTTCAAGCAGAAAATTACGGTTTCTACATTTAAAGGTTCTATAATATTCTAGGAGATAAAAATTCCTGAATTCTAATAGCTCTTGTCAGGCATTTTTTGTCCATACAGAAGTTTTCCCAATAGGAACCAGATGCCAGAAGAATATTTTTCTAAAGCATAGACCTTCTAAAGTCGATTCACCTTACATGTTTTGCTTATCTAACTTAATATTGACTGATTGATTTCATTATTTATTTACAGAAAAGGCAGTGCATATGCAAAAAATTAACTTATTGTCCTTCAAAATAATCACCTTTCTACAGTAGGCACTCATGAAACCCATGTAGAAGTCTTGCATACTCTGGGCAAAGGCAGCCTGTGGGATGCACTTAGGTGTATGTTCACATTGCAATGGATATTGGCTATATCCAAAACCACTTGCTTTAAAGTGTTTTTCCAAGAAAAGGAAAGAAAATAATCAACGGGGACCAGACCTGGTTAACCCCTTAACTACCGCAGAAAACGTACAAGATTCATTTCACAGTGCCACGGTTTTTCACACAGATGCACATAGTTATGTGATGTATTAGGGGAAAAATAAGTGCAAGTTTTACTTCCTAAAAACTGTTTACTTTCAGAAAATAAAGAATAAAAGAAAAAAATGAATGCACAAAATTCGATGTTTAGAATAAAAGCATAATAAAAAGATGTAAGTATAAGAAAAATGATGTTTTTATAATAAAAAAGATCTTTAAAATGGAGTTTCGATCAATTTATTTTTAGACCAGTAAAGTGTAATACAGTCAAAAGTCGTTAATCCGGACTCGTCGGGACTTCGGCGATTCCGGATTATAGATCATCAGTTTAAATCTCGTAAGATGGCATGCAGAAATTCTAAAATTAAAAATATGAAACCGTAATTTATGAAATAAAGAACAATTATGATCTAAAGGGTATCAAAATTTACAAAAAAAAAAAAAAGCTTAATATTTATTTGTTTACTTTATTAAACATTTCTCTCAATGTAAGTTGTTTAAGTTGCTTCATTTTATGTGATAATACTTTCTCTTTAATTCTATAAAAAGACATAATTTCTTGTTCAGTTACAAAGTTCCGCTGTTCAAGTCCCGTTAATTGCTGTGCCGAGAATACCGACTAACTTGTCAATCGAAATTTTTTCGTTTTCACTAACCTCTCTGTCACATTCTTCATGTCTTTATCCATTTTTTGCAGCAATTCCACTTTTTGTTTGTTGGACATCGAAACATACTTTTGTTTTGTAGATCCTTTGGAAGTTCCAGCATCGGAAATTCTATTTGACATAATCGAAAGTTCAAGTTTACTTTTATAAAATTGCTCTTACAGTCTGCAAAAAATAATAAGCCTGATCCAATTCCAATATTAAGGAACAATGCAATCTGCAACATTAACTGAAATAGATAATTAGATAATTTTAGCTTACACCGTCCGTTATGCATTAAACGAGCTGGCGAAAATGTATTCTGCACTTGCGCACACGCATATGCGCAGTAGTCAAGGTCTTACGCGCACATGCGCAGAAAGTTTTTAGCTTTGAGGTCTGGATTATAGATCATTCCAGATTATGGGTGTCCGAATTAACGACTTTTGACTGTATCAGGTTTAAGTGTTATACCTTGTGAAATCAGTATGCCTAAAAAAATATATATTTCTTCTGAACTGGTTGAATGCCACAATTTTGCTCTTAATTTTTCCTTAGCAAGGTGTTGGTTCATATACTTGTCTACAAAACGGTTAGTTTCAGTGACAATATGAAGCACGAGCAGTTCATAAAAAAATAATTCAAAAAAGATGAATGGGTTTGAAACATCCATTATATCTTTCTTTATTCCTGGAACCTACTACAAAAAGTAAACGAAAATGGAGAACACAGAATAAAAAAAATACGTTTTACTGAAACAACACCAGCAAATACCGTGCAGTCATTACTTTCTGCTTTAGACACATTCCTCTCTCTACTTTCTCTGAAATACGAGGTTTGGGGCAAAAGTCATGGCAACTATTTTTTTCTTGTAGATATGTGAACGGATCACAAAACGTATATGTGTGTCATGTGGAAGTTCTGCAGGCATAGTGTGTATGCAGAACAACAGATGGCTCTGTGGTAGCGAGGGCTCTAAAATCAGTCGGTGAGTGTCGTGCGAGATGGAAGTAACCCGTGTTGAGCAGCGTGCTTACATCAAAATAGCCGTTTACCAACGGAGAAATGCGATGGAATGTCACAGTGAATTAGCCCTTGGGAATAATGCCCTACCATATTGTACAGTAGCACGGTGAGTAGGAAGTTTCAGCAAGGATATCTGTCAATCAGTGATGAGCAACGTTCGAGACAACCGGTGAGTGTGTAGACCGACTTGCACCTGCCATCATCGAGCACCTCATGGATGAAGACAGAGGATGGACATTACTGGAGTTAGAGAGGGCAAGTGGCATCGAAAAATGCACCATCCACAGGATATTGCGTAATGAGCTAGCGTCAGAATCCTTCCTCAGTCAAATTGATGGTGATCGTCGTGTATGACGTCAGGGGTGTCATTGTTTGCCACTTTGTTCCTCATGGCAGAACAGTGACCGCACAGTACTACAGGGACTTCCTGGTGCGACAGGTACAATGTGGCGTTCGGGATAAACATCCAGATCTTGTGAACAGTGCAATAATTCTGCACGACAATGCAAGACCACATAAAGCAGAGTGCATATGGCAGCTACTTCGACGTTGGGGATGGGAAGAATTGGAGCACCCATCGGTACTCTCCTGACCTTTCGCCCTGTGACTTTGATATCATTCCCAAGATTAAGGAACCAATACGAGGTAGGCGGTTTGCAACACGAGAGGACATTGCTAATGCTGTGCATCAACAGATGACCGATTCACACATGGTGCGGCAAATGCTGAAGCTGATGGTATTCAGCACCTCCCACATCGTTGGCAGTGTGTGATGACAACAGAAGGGAACTACATTGAGGGTCTTTAGGCCCAGGTTTGTCATGTCAACTTTATGTGTATTGTGTTATCCTTCTTTTGCACGGTGAAGGCCATACTGCCCTGTATACTACCGTAATAAATTCGTGTGTTATGATATTTCAGTGCTATTCATTGTCCACACATACAGTTAAGACCTTGTCCTTTCGTCTGTATATCTCACATTTTCCAACCGGACTGGTATCTTCAAGAAAAAAAAATAGTTGCCATGAGTTTTGCCCCAACCTATGTAGTATCGTCCTTCGCATACTTTGTCAAGGTCATTGTGGTGTTGCATTCCTTTGTGAATAATTTTATGGGTAGCAGCACAAAGCAAATGATAGTATTTTGGAATTACATATATATACGCCCGGGGCAATTAACACATCAGCTGAGATATATATGCCCGTAGCAGTTAAGTGGTTAATAGGGAGGTAATGGAGCATAACTATCTCACATACAATGAACTGCTGTACAGTTATAGCAGTATGGGGGGCATGCGTTATCAAAGAGAAGACACCAAGATACATTTTCAGTATATTGGGGAAGCATATGTTTGATCCTTTTCAAAATGTGATTAAGATATTCATATAAGTGACTGCATTCAATGTTGTGCCTTCTGGCAGATATTCTTTATCAATGATCCCTTCAGCATATCAAAAAAGGTAATCAGCATTGTCTTGATGTGCCACACCATCCCATGCTTTGCATAATTCTGGGTTCTACTGAAGACAACATGATTCACTGCCTGGTAAGATCCATTCAGGAAACATGGAATCACTATCCACATTGCTCTTGAGACTTAAGTGGCTACTAGATGCATTGGCAGGCGGTGGATAGCTGGATGTCCTGTATTATATGACATGTTATCTTTGAATAAATACATAAGAAGCTGCAACCCCCCTCCTGTAATCCTGATGTTATGTGACCTGTACCTAGGGTGCACGACGTTGCAGTTATAGTGTCTTATGGGAGATTCTAGAATGCTTGGCAATTTCTAGAGTATTTTGTCTCACAGGCAAATATTAGGTGGACTTTTTAATCTTGTACTTTCTTTTCTAGTTAT